CAATGGCTCTCAGAGAGGCCAATGCACACCTGAGGAATGTGTCTGGAAACATGCCGTCATGATCATGAGGGTTAGCCAGCAGCCAGGGATTTAAGGGGTTCCTGGCCCATGGTAAATGTCTCCTCCAGGAGTATATTATTTTGATACTGTTCCATCTAGTCATTATGCTTGCAACAGGACTACTGTGGTGATAAGCTCTTTGGGTATGCCTACACTACAGCGCTAATTCGAACTAACTTAGTTCGAATTAACTAATTCATACTAACGCATCCAGACTAAAAAACTAGTTCGAATTGGCGTTTTGCTAATTCGAACTAGTATGTCCACATTAAGTGGACACTGAACCAGAGTTTAGGATGGCCAGAAGCAGTGCTGGCAGGGCATCAGATGAGGACTTAGAGCATGGAGCTGCTGCCTCAGGCTAGCCGAGGGCTGTGCTTAAAGGGACCCGACTCCCACTCCGGACAGACAGTTCTCAGGGGTGCCCCGCTTGCAAAGCAGGCCTGTCTTGGAGTGCCCTGAATGCCCACACTGGGAACATCACAGCACTCGGCCATCAGACCGGCTGCACTTGCCGCAGGCTGCCATCTGTGGAGAGGGGGCAATTGGTGGGCTGCAGGAGAGCTTCCACCCTGAGAAGCCCGCAGAGCCAGCCCAGTCCTCCCCATCGGGGGCTCGTACCCCATTCCTCCCTCACCTCCTTCCACTTACCCTTCCCTAGCCCCCCTTCCTGATGTACAAAATAAAGAATACGTGTGGTCAAAAATAGAATCTCTCTTTATTGAACAAAACTCAGGAAGACTGGGAAAAGGAGGTGGGAGAGGGGAAGAGAGAGGGTGGAAGAGGGGAGGGCAACTAAAATGATCAGAGGTTTGGAAGAGGTCCCATATGAAGAGAGGCTAAAGAGACTGGGACTTTTCAGTTTAGAAAAGAGGAGACTGAGGGGGGATAGGATAGAGGTCTATAAAAGCATGAGTGGGGTGGAGAGGGTGCATCAAGAAAAGTTCTTCATTAGTTCCCATAATAGAAGGACTAAAGGACA